TAAATAAATAATAATAATAATAATAATAATAATAATAATAATAATAATAATAATAATAATAATAATAATAATAATAATAATAATAATAATAATAATAATAATAATAATAATAATAATAATATGCTTCTGGCTGGCTCCATTCATAGAAACCTCTACAAAATTACAGTACAGAATCTTTTGTGAATGGAATGACAGGACTGGATAAAATCTTTGCAAAGTATTTAAACATACATAGGATACATCTTTTTAAAAAAGGTGCCCTCCTCTTCGTTTTCCTTCCATTGGTTGGAGAAGCCCTTTCTCTTCAGGCAGACCTTTCTCCAGTAACTGGCTGCATTTAAGGGAGTTTTAATGTTTTAACCTTTTTAATGTTTTTCAACTTGTTTAAACATTGTAACTGTTCAACTACTTTTTTTATGTTGTATAATTTATTTTAATTCTCGCTCTTATGTTGCCTGGTTTAATATTGTAAGCCACCTTGAATCCTGTTCAGGAGAAAGGTGCAGCATTTGTGATGAAATGATATGAAATGACAAATGAAATTAAAGGATGCATTTAGATCAGTGCTCCTCTCCAGTGGCCTATTGGTAAAACTGAGCCTCTCTTCCCAAGTCATAATACCCTTGGAAATAGAAGAGATGTCCTGTGTGACTACATATGTTTATTGTTCTTGGTGGTCACTAGAATTGTATTTGTTGCTTCTACAACACATTTTGGTTGTTCAGCTACTGTTAGAATCTTTTCCCATCATTTGTGCATAAGTTATTTAAGACTCTTTAGAAGCAGCATTAAGAAGATTCTCAGATCAGGTTGAGCTTATCTGGGGTAAATCTTATGGTATAATTTTTAAAATACTGCTACTTGAGTATTAAATACATCTCTGCCGAGAATAGTTAAATAAGAAATGTTCCTGTCTTATTTGGCCTTGATTCTGACCAACCCAGGAAAGAATATTTTACATTAAATTATGAACCACATTTTTGTTAAGACAAATTTAGCTTTTAAATTCTTGTTTAGACATTGCTAACAGGAGTTTTAGTAAATTTTAGTGGCATATGTTCTAGCTATTGGATTTATCTATTTTTATATTACACTTCTCTATGTTTGGTCAATTGGTTTTATTGAACAAGACATTTCCATTTGAAAGAAATTTTACTCTGATGCTTATTGTGACAGGTTTACCAGCATCCTCAGAATTTCAGTAAAATTTAAATTGATCATTTTCGGCTGTTTATTGATTGACATCACATTGAGATCCATGAGAAAGCATCTATCCAGTGCATTGCCAGCTGTCATGTTTCCCCACAGCAATGTGCGATAATGAAGCATAGTAAAATCCATATATGCATGAACAGTTTTCATGTAGAAACATGGTGCCCTGGATCAAGGACACTAGAAAAAGCCGGTGTATTGGACAGCACAATTTGATGGTGTAATACTGAATTTGAAGTTTACAATGTGAAACTGCACAATCCTCTACTAGTTTTCTGGATCATAACAGTCTTATAAGGTTTTTCTATTGTTGTTTTACTTATTTATTGTGGATAAATTTCACCAAAATGGACTTTAAGGCTGGTGTTTTTAATGGAGCTAGAGTATATTGTGATAGTTAATAGGTTAGACCAGTGCTTGAAAGTAAAACATTATTTTATGTGCAAGACACAACAATTTCAAAAGATTTGAGCACTTCTGTTCTCTGGGTCACACAGAATATCAGCTTTCGTGCCTTTCTTTGCAATGACTCTGTCCCCCGGGAAGGGTCCATCTCTATATTAGTTTCTCATACAGCACAGAGCACATCACCAGTACTTAGCAAATAATACCAATTTTAGTGGTGCGGTACACAAGGGAGCCTCTTATAATGAAGCTGCTTTTATCAGAGAGAAACTTCACTATATGCTGAGATTCGCTATTGCAATTTCCAGCTAACAATGTGCCTGGCGATAAAAACCAGAATGCAGGCACCTTGGGGGTTGGACAGATAAAGTGTGATATCTCAGACTGGCCTTGCTTCTGAGTGGGAGTCTCAATTAGCAGCTTGTTAAGCTAGAAGTTGCCATCCAAGATAGATTGGTGTGGATCACATCCCCATGAGATGTGTCAGCTGTTAGTCTGTTTCAAATGTGCACCTAATACTTGAAAGTTTTTGATGGAAACACAGGTGTTTTTCTCCATTGCTTTGGTGCATGCGTGGCTGACAAATGTGACAGAAATAAACCAACTATAATGGTAACTGTGCTTTGACAGCCACATGTGAGTTACAAAAGTTTGCTATCATACATGACTCACAGCTGCCTAGTACTGTCCAAAAATCTTTTATGAAATAGCAGATCCTACGAAAATGACTTTTTCCTGTTACCTGCGCTGTATCCCACTTGCTTGGGCTTTATAAATAATGCAACCAGACACACAGAAATTCGGTGTAGTTGCTATAGTGTCCAGTGCTGTGAACCTAATTTCTGACAACTTATGTGAAGCTTTCAACATTATAATAAGTTTTTTAAAAAATATTTTAAAAATACAGTGTGACTTTCTCACCAAAGATCGCTGTAATCTGGGGGCTTTTTCCCCCTGTTGTGTTTAGTGTGTGTGTACATATGCATGCACGCATACATACACACATACACACAGAGCCTTCCTTCCGAATAAATCTTTTTGTTGGAGCGATGCCTTTTGTTTCAGACTTTGGTGCTGTCAAATTCCTGGAATTTTCTGTCTGCCTTCTACATGTCATACACAGATGAATGTGCTGTTGTATTGTAGTGAAATATGGGATGCATGCATATCATAATTACATAACATTAGATTGATCGAAATTTGTCTTTTAAAGGTCCAGTCATTAGCTGATCTGGTGCTGTTGGTTTTGTTTTAACTTTTGGGGTTTACATTCATTCATACATACATTTTCATTGTATTTTTCCTCGTTTAGGAATGTGTGTATGCAATTGATATCGGAAATACACTGCTCATTTGGCTATTGTGTATGAATCTGGCAACATTCTTCTAACTGGTTCATTTCTTTCAGGAAAATTATATTTGTTGTTTCTGAGCACTTGGGCCACGTTCT